AAAGTCAACGAAAGTAACGAAACATGTGCATGATTCTACGGTATCATAGTGCAATACCACATATATAAAATGAAACAGCCCTACAGCACCATTCGAAAGTTGGCAGCCATGAACCAGATTCTGTGTTCGACTATGCTCTACAGCTGTGTTCGACCGTGCTGTGGCGTGTCGTTGTTGGAAAGCACCGCGTCTGACACTGTGTCGATGTGTGTCGTCTAAATGCCTTGATGGAAAGCTCCCTCTATTATTCACATTCCGATGCTCGAGCCGGCATGCAGCCGAGCGAGCGGCTCCGTGCGTAGCGCTCTATTAAATACACCGCGAGATGTGCTGTGACAAGTATCACGATGATATCGCAGCTACTAGAAAGATACAGTATTCTCTCTTAATCGTCGGATTATCCCGTGTGCGCGACCGACTGAGTACTGAGTTCCGTCATTCGCGCAGAGTCACGATCGAGCGCATGATACACGCCTTGCGCGGCTACAGGAATCGGAGTGAAGTGAATACGTCAAGATTAATGTACGCCGAATATAATAAGTTTCTTGTGTTTCAATGAATAATGGACTGTTATCGCACACAGGAGCAAGAAGGCGATCGGAGTGCTGGACTAACGTTTGGTCGAGAATCGTCGGACATCATATCGTGGGATTTAATGTGAGTACGGAGTACGCGAATCTCGCGGTGATTTAGAATAACGACGCGTAGTTATGATATATGTGTGATATATGTGTCGAGCGTTTAACTGTGCATTCGCATCTCGCGGAATTTTACGCTGTATTTCGAGCTGTATCGCAAGTGTGTCTCGAGCGTATTTTCGAACGGTTCGCTCGTTTCAATTTGGCCATTGACACGACTCGCGTTGTATCCGCGAGGCGTTCGCGTCGGTAAGAAGTTAGCCGCGCTCAGCGGGAAAAGCAGCTCGGTGAATATCGTCGGTTTTAAATACGAGAAGCGCGCCCCATAAAACGCAGATCGTTTCCTCTCCAGGGGGCCTATTACGGTTTTTGGGTGAGTTCACTCACTTTTCACATTTTCATCTCACGTGACTTTGTTCACCCGATTATAGAAGTGTCGAGTGAAACTGCGAGATCACTAGGCATTTCCAGTTTAGTGATTTCACATTTTCACGAAACCGCGATCCGCCGATAGCGTCATAGTAAAAAAGTGAGGTTAAGTGATAAAAATTTGTTATAGAAAAAATACAGATAAATGAATGTTACAAACAAACAGAAAAGAATATTGCTAAACTACATGAAGGATAATGAAGATTTTGCAAGAGGCCGCTTACGATACAATAGTAGCAATAAAAAAATATTAGTAAGTACTATACATTATCTATCAATAAACATTAAAATTAGAAATCTTATCGGTAATGCCGTAGTATTTTATTAATAATAATAGATAATTATATAATAATAAGTAAATTAAATTTGCTTATGCAGGATGATATGTGAACTTCCATCACTATATCCTTAAATGCCACTGGAAACGGACCTCAAAAACAAGTTAAAGAATGGCAAAAGGTATTTATGGAAGGAATTATAATATTTTATTAAGAAACAAGGATAACAACATTTAATTATACTGATACGATTATTAAGAAATTCTGGTATTTTACATAAATGTAGACATGAAGAGACTGGAAATCGAATGTGCTAAAGAAGTGTGCCCAAAATAAAAGTTATGCTGGCGGTACAGGCGGAGGACCACCAAAGGTACTTCAGTTAACAGAACTGGAAGAAAGTTTATTGGAAATCTTAGATCCAGAAGCTGCTGGTTTGGCTAATATACCTGAAGCAGGAAATTTTAATAGGACTAAGCAGAGAGGATCTGTACCTACTAATCCTGTAGCTGCTAATCCTGTACCTACTAATGATACAATTCCACAAAAAGAATCATGCGAAACGATTGCGCAAGAAATTGAATAACATCCACCTAATTCTATGCAAATGAAAAGGGTATAATATGCACTGCATTCTATATATGATGTCATTAATGACTGATATATTTATTTTTAATATGAATAAGATATAATATAATTAATGTATCAAATAAATTATTTTTATGTAAATTCAAATAATATTTCAAGAAATCTACTTCTACATCGGCTTCCAATAATAAAAGGTGCAAGATGGATAACATAGCCAATTATCCGTCAACGTCTACAATTGGAGTTCTTCACAACACAGATTTTTCAGCACGGGTAAGTAAAATCAGTATATCTTTATTGGCGAATAGAATGTTTATGTGTTAATAATAGAGAAATAAAAATAAACATTTACAGGAGGTGGAAAGCAATATTAATATTTTTGACCATAATGCTTTCGAACCTGACAGTAAAGAAGTTGATGACGTTGTTTTGGAAGAGAATAATACAAATACCGCACCACGTGGGCAGGTCATTTCTGAACGTCATGAAGCGCAAGGCAAAGGTATTAACTATTACTGGTTTCCTTTGTGTCTTTTTTTTAAATATTGACATCATAAAATAGAATAAAGTAAAATATAAAATTTTGAATAAATATTATATTTTAATGCTTTTGATTGTTCAGTTACCAAGGTACCAAGATGTAAAGAAGATCAATCCAGTATAGCTGTACAATTAATGGACGATAACATTAAAA